AGACTCACAAATCCTCACATCAGTGAGGCTTCCAATAGAGAACAAAACAGAAAAACAGACTTGGGAGAGGAATCTAAAAATTTGGGTAAGCGTAGGGAACTGTGTGGAGAAAACCGGGGCTTTTGTGCAGAACTGACCCAGCGGGTAGAAAAGGAGGCAGAGTCCTGAGCCAAATGTCACGTGGGAGGCACAACTGGACGTTCACCTTCTAGGTGATGAAATTTTTGGGAAGAAGATAGGGGCCTTATCAAATAAAAGGAGATGTAAATGGCTTGTAACAAGCTATACAATATAGAGTTGCCCTGTACTTGCTGTTTCTTCTGACGTACTAATTGGCCATGACTTGTTCTGTTTTGCCAACGTAACTAAAGTCATAGTACATATACAGTACTTTATTCCAGTAAAGGTTTTTTGGTTAGGTTTTTTTTGCTGTTTTTTTGTTTGGGGTTTTTTTTTTGGTATAAACAATACCAGCATCGGGATTTTTGGGGAGGCTATTTGGAACCACACAGGCAAGTCAAAGGTGTACAGAAGGTCTCAGTGACAGAGCCACTGTTTCTGATTTAACAATTCAGAGTACTCCAACTCTGCAGCAGGCTGGATTAAATTATTCCAGCTGGCCGGATGCTTCTCATAGGCTGTCTATCTGACAGTCCTGCTTCTAAAAATATCAGAAGTTGGATTTGCAACACTGATCTCTCTGATAAGTAATCCTTTACTATCACTAGAAGTTCCCCACTCACATAGAATATGCCTGCAGTTAAAGAAATTGCAGTAGTAGGAGAAGGCTGGTATTTCGGTATTTCCAGCCTCCCCCTTTGATTCCCATTTTCTTGTATTTTATTCAGTTTTCCTAGTAGCTTTTAGCAACAGGAAAAGTAAATCTCAGTTCCAAACTGTGTGTATAGCTTGCAATATGTATTCATTTATCTAGACAGTATTCTGGCTTTCATTTTGCTTCTTATGCAGCAGATGAAATCATTGTGTGTTTATAATCTCTGTCAATGGGTTTTCAAAGGGTGACTTGGTGGGCAGAGAAGAAGAAATCTATTTTTTCCATGTGTTGTGGACTATGGTCTCTTGTTTGAAAAAGTCTCCAGCTATTGAGTTTGTGAAAAGTGCATAACATCAAATAATTAAGCTCCTTGACTTTCTGCCTTTACATTGATAAGGCTACTACAGTGCGCAGCCATAAAGTGGTTGGAGGTCTCCTGAAGCACATTTTTCTGCTTAGGAAGAAAAATTGGTGTGGGTTTTTATGACACTGCCACATAGTAAAGTTAAAGGGTCCTATTTTCACCATGAACCTTTTGGAGTTTGTTACCTTTTTATTTTAACAAGGTAGACAGTGCCTGAGCTAACAGCACTCTGGTAAGTTCTGCTGTATTTTGTACTGCTGCTGTCTGAAACGAAGATGGTCTTTCTCATTAAACGATACGGACTCTGAAGCATTAAAAACTGTTTTGCATAGAGACATTAGGCAGCAGACACAAATGACTGAAGTCCTGGTTGGGGACTTTGCTTGAGCCAAGATTTTCTTTTAGTCGTTATAATACAGTAGGATGCTTATGCAAAGAGTAGGGAACGAAACATGCTCAAGTATGTATCAGAGGGACAAGTAAATGCTCAATTTATTTATTTAAGCATTCCAAAGCCTGTCCTTCTCTCTACCTTAAGCAGCGCCAAACATATTGATGATAATCTGATACACAGTTTTAAAGCCTGTACACTCAAACTATCTAAGCATCAGTTCAGTTATTCTGCCTACTGAAGTGATAATTAGGGGCTAAAAGGTAACCAGATTATTGTAGAGATCTCTCTCTTGATAGCCTTTAACACCTAGTTAAACGTTAAAGCCTGAAAATTACAAGCCTCTCGGTATCATTCAGACCACAGTATATTTTGAAGTAATTTGCTATTTCTAGATTGTTTTTCATGCCATGGTACCACTCCAGTGCTCTCTAGCTTGCTCGAAGTGCCTGCCCACTTGCAGAACATCTTCACTAGGCAAGAAAAGTCCCTAAGAACAAACTTCTTTCTTAGTATGGATCTTAGGTGGGATTTCCAGATGTGTGAAGAACATTGCAGCTCCTTCAAGATATACTGGGGCTGTTTAAAAGCTTCTGCCTTGTCTGCACTTGGATTTAATTTAGGTCTGAGCCAATCTAATAATTTGCCAGTGCTGTAAGGGAGAGGTACTGCTCTCTCCCCTGACCTCTCCCCAGGTTCCCCTTCTCTCTCTGCAATGTGCTGACTTTAACGTGCCTTGGAGACCTCAGTGAAAATGAGGGGACAGATATGGACAGGAGTGGTGGGAAGGAGGAGTAGGAGTGAGCTCATTGCGATCTACTGGAATGGATCACACTTCTTGGGTAACTTCATCCTTGGGAATTGTTTCCACAGCAAAATAGGGGCTTCAGTAAAACCCATAGTGGGTTTGTCCAACCCAAATAAGAACAGCAGTAACAAGGCAGTGTCATGGGAGTTAGTGTGCAATTAGCAGTCAAACAGTGCAATCCTCCAATGATTTTTCTGTGGTTGCCTACACCTGCTAAAGCCTAAGCCAGCAAATATTCATTGCTATTCTTACCTGCACTAGCTAACTTAAACTAATGCACTTATGCAGTTATTTTTCTTTACCCCATCTCCTCTGACAGCATTATCCAATGCAGAAGTGATAGTAATTAGCAGCAACAGTCTTGAAAGCATACGTTACATCATCAAGACATGTATTCTGTCATTAAGTCAGCTAGCTTGTCTACCGTTTTCTTACTGTGGTTGCTGGGAGCTGTAGACATTACACCTTCCAGTACTGAGAGCTTATCGAAAACTGCTTATTTATACAGACAGCACTTGTATGGGTGGATGTATATTCTAAGAACACCGTCAGCTGCCGTCCTTCATTGAAAATTTGCACCCATGCTATTCAGCATGATGGATTTGAATCCGTGCTTGTACTTTGGAAACAGTATGTGTTCTATAAATAGGACTTAACTGTGGAGATGCAGGTTCAAATTAGTGATTAATACTTGACCTTATTAGAACTTTCCTGTCTAGCTGCCCACAATGGCTATCAGAAACTTTGAAAAACACATCCTCAAAGGACAGAATTCATCTTGCCGTCTGAAATGGAGGTGTCTAGTCTAAGCTACTTGGCCTGTTGTTTGTCTCTGCTCTGTTGTCAAGGGAGATGCATCTCCACAGAGCGATTTGTCTTGTCCTAAGGGATGCGTCTCTGGCTATCAGGAATGATCATCCTCTGAAGATGCTAATCTCTTTCTATTCACTCCAGGAGGAATTCAGATAACTAGATGAATCCTGCATATACTGTGGATCCAGCTGTGCATGACTGACTGACTGACAGTGGTTTCCACTTAGCTAGGTTTTCTACTTTCATTAAGAAAAACTTGAGGTCTCTGTTAGCAAATAATACCAAGTGTTAACAGTACTTCAAAACCCCTACTTCCAAAACCAGAAGAGCCCAGTTAAGTATTGCAAAATAATGCTCTAAGTTTTTACCTTTTGTTATAGTCTATGACTGATGAATTTATAACTTAAAAACTCTCTTAAAAATATCTGAAATTATGCTGATACATCGTATCAAGTGCAATGGTATCTTTCAACCAGATTTCTGCTGTCTTGTTCAGTCAACCTGCTTTTGTTTGAATATTGCTCTTCTGTAAATCTGATTAGCAAAGCAAAGACCTCATTTACTTAACTTTCAGCTCTTAAAGGAGTAATACATTATATGTTCACTTATCACAGAATTTAACGAAGGCAACCAGAAGTCAGTTGTGTAAGACATGAATAATTTCATGAAAAAGCTGCCACTGGCTATACTATACATCTATGTAGCTTATAAAACAAAGCAAATGATTACCATCCATTATAATACCATCATTTGACAACTCTGCAATTAATTTCCTACTCTTAAATAACTGCTGTTGCAGAGTGCCAAAGAAAATGCCATGCATTAACTGACTCATCACCAGAGTCTGTGATAGATAGTACAGATGGTAGTCTGATTATTCATCTCCAAGAAAATAAGTGCTTTATTGTGAAAAACTATTCATTTTTGTATTCTGAAAGAATGGTAAAAGGATACCTTGAGTAGCTTTAAAAATAATCCCTACAGTAATATACAGTTATTCTGAAGCGTTATTTTATTTGTTAAGATTTGTGGAGTAGAGTTGCGTGCCAGATAGTTCACAGACACGGCACAAGCTGATGAAGGATGGGGTACTACAAAACCCATGCATTTCTTCTATGTAAAAATGCTCCTACAGAAGAAGAACGGAAAGATTCTGCGTTGCCTACCAGAAAGTCTGCAAACTTTACTATGCATCTTGAAAAAGTACTCCATATACAAGACTAAAATATTTATCCAGCAAGAGTAATGGGCTATCCTGCAATAGCTACCAGGATCATTAAATTACGGTCTTTTATGGGACATTTAGAGACACAGTTTTAAAAAACAAAGCAATTGCCAATTCTGCCAGGGTTTACTTGTGGAGTTAACTTTGTCTTGAGCAGACCAACAGACTTCTGTGAACCCTCTCTAAAATCAAGTATCACCTTATTTTTACATGAATCAAAGGCAGAATGATGCTTAATGTAAAGTGTTACACACCAGTGAGTAGCAAAAGTAGCACTTTTGTAAGAACTTGAAGCACTTTCAGTGTTACTTTGTGGTTAACCTTGTATTTGCGTTTACTAGGGATATAAAGGACCCATCAAAAGATACTTGATTACTTTGTAAGTAGCACATACGAGAATATAGGGTGTCTATGCATACAATAAATACAACAGTTTCATTTTTAGATATGAGCCACACAATTTGCAGTGCATGGGCAAAAAAAAAAGTAATTCCCTGATTTTCAGAATGGATAAAGGGTAAACAATTTTTATGAGTACAAATTAGTTTGCAAATACCTTCAGGCAGAAAAGGAAAGTGAGTAATTCATACTGGTTCATTTGTAACTCCAGATATGTTGACATACCTCCCCAGAGAAAGCCTGTCCATTGAGTAGGTGCTCTGATCCCTGGCTGTCTTCACTTCCAAAGTGTAACCGGATTTCCTCTAAGCGGTGACTATATGTCATCGGTCCTCCAGAGATGTTGACCAAATGCTCTTTGTCTAATCGTAGAGATACATGTCTCCCTGTATTATACATCGTCCCACTGACCTAAACAAAATGGAGGGGGAAAAAAAGGCATTTTTTCAAAATAGTTTGTAAATTCTAGAAAGTAGTTTATATGTACTTCAAGATTTTGCTCTTTACACACCTTCATTTAAATGTAGCAATACATCTTATTGTTGTGAGATGAAATACACAACCTGAGGTTATATTTCAACTTCTGCTTTGAATCTTATACTGTATATTCAAATATTTTGCTAAATCCATATGTACATATTTTAGCCAGGGGCACATGGCTAACACAGTGAATAGGATTATTATACTTCTAAATAAGTAGGCTTTTAGAATATTTTTTATGCAAGGTCTGAATAATGGCTTCATTACAAAATTTCTGCACTGAAAATGGGAACATTTCAGCTGACATAAATTATTTAAGTACACTTGAACAAATCTGAAATTTAACTCATTTTTCCCTTTTAATATTTATAACAAAGTTACCCAAAAGTAAAGGTGCTGCAAAAAGCAGAGATGTAATTATTCATAAATAGGGAGCCCTACTCCTACTGGAGCTGCAGGTAAAAACTTTCACTGTCCTCCTCTGCAAGTCTCTTTGTTTTGTTATGAATATTTTATGTTTACAGTTGCCAGATATTTTAGCCATAGCAGTACAGAATTAATTACAATTCAATCATGTATCTCTAGTTCCTAGTACACCTCAAATTGCTGTAATGCTCCTCAAGATTCATCTTTATTTTTAAAAAGAGTGAATGTTGTGCTTCATTTGCAAACTGATTTACAGCTGCTGTAATGAAAAAGAAAATGATTGTGGAAATTTTTCATATGGAATATAATTCTGTCATAATTTCTACTGTCATAGGAAAAGTTCCTATAGCGAGAGGTTCCTTAATTTATGCCATTAGAAAGTGAAATATGCTAGTTTGAGTTAAAGTAGAATGGTGATTTATTTAAAAACATTCTGCATGGATACAAATGGTACACTTGGATAACATTCATTTACTTTAAGAAGAGGAAGTGTAGCAAAAATATGCTTTGTTGCACTTCAATTTAAAATTAAAGACATGACTATTATGTATGATATGTTATACTGTATCAGTACTATAGTAGTTAACATTGCTGCAGTGTCATTTTATCTGTAATACTAATTACGGAGTTTAAATGACCTGTTTTCTTGCACAGTATGTTGTAAAAAGTTAAACTGAACAGACTGCAATAGAACTAAATGGATGAGATTAAACAGATTTTGATTGTTGTGGTTTTTTAGCTTTGATACAGATGTTCTCTTTTTTGTGTTTATTCCAATTCAGAATAAACGGTAATAAATTTCTCATGAAAAGTAATAAACACAAATATTCCTATTCATTGCAAATAAAACACAATGATCTTATTTATAAATGCTCCTTAGTTTTTCTGCTTGACTTTGCATGCATAATAATTAAGTAGCAAGTTTAGTTTAATAGGTGGAAGAAGGTCAGTTTATTGAATTCTGTTTCAGTACACTGCATACGAATGACATAAAATTGCTAATCATAAGTAACAAATGTAGTTTAAAAACAAATAGGGGAAAATGGTTCAAAGCCTCTTATTCACATTTGGAAACTCACGCTTCACTGAACACTCAGTTAAATTTAGCAACTATGCAAAATATTCAGAATCCATTTTCTTACTTAAATTGGTACAAATCTCAAATTAGGTTACCATTATTTTCTCTCTGAAGGTAAAAGTGACCCAAATAACCCCTAATATGAATCAAATAACTCTGTAGAGCAGAGAGGGGAAATGATAAGAGGCAAATTAATGAACAGGAGTAACATTTGTCTTTCTCATTTCCCCCCTCATAAAAATGCAGTGCTTGTAATGGGATTGTATTCACTGTTTTAAAACAGAATTTCCCTACGTAACTGCCGATGGAGCATACCAGTAATGCCATGAAGTATCTGACATGCCTCATTTCTGACCCGCAGGGAGGGATGAACACGTGAAGGGAGATTATAAAAACCTCCTGCGTGGGCACACAGACTTGTCACCAGGAAGCACAAAATCCAAGATCTTCAATATCAGATATGCAAGGTGGTCTCAGGCTCAAGTGAAGCACTGGTTTTCTTGTTGTGAGTGTGTGCCCGAGGGACGAGTGGCCACCCATGCCAGTCCAGCTTCGGGACCAAATTGCACCTGACAGGCCCATGCCCGTTTCTTTTCTTGAGAGTGTCAACATATACCACCATTACTAGCAACTTTTAACGGGCACTTCTTTTATGGCCATTTGCTTACTACAAGAAGAATAGAAGTGTCTTATGTTTGTCATCTACTCAGATTACATCTGAATGAAAGATTGAATAATTTTTTCAAATTATTGAAAAAAATCTTTTTTTTTTTTTAATTTCTGGAGACTTTCTGACTTGCCAAGATTGTATAGTAGGCTGTGCCTGACTATGGGAAGTACCACCACAACACTATGTGAAATTCTTTATTGCGGTTCAGGATATTGTCTGTTTTATATACAAACCCAATATCTTATCACCTTTAAAATTGTACATTTCAAGTACAGACATTTACAGTTGTAGGACATAGTATCACATAAGTGCAATCACCTTCTGTTTGCAAGCTCGAAGTCCACATATGCATTATACTCGGTAGGAAAGCGTCATGCAAAAAACAATGCAAGAAAAAAAAAGTTGTCTTCCATTGTTTTCGGCAGAAAATAATGCATTTTCTTTTCACTATGCACAGTTTTAACTGCTACTGGAGAAAAAGAAGGTTCTGATCTTATTCACTATGTGAACCTACTGACAAAAGAAGGATTTTCCATGTTTTATGGCACCGAGCCTTTAAAGCGATGGTGCACTCTCATTTTAGAATATCAAACTGAGTTGGTTTTGTGGAAAGCAAAGTTGCGTGTGGTCTTGTAAAAGGCTGCAGGCACAGAAGTTAACGAGGAGGTATTTTCTGTATTTTGTACGTTCTCCTACAAGATAAAGAGTATGAAGACAGGGGCGCCTTACGGGAAAGATGTTGACTCTGCCTGGTACGGTCAACAATATCTGCTACTCCAGAAAGCGGAGTATTTATTTTTTATACCATTCTGTGGATTGGATAAAATGTTATAGGGTAGTTTAAAAGGATAATATAAAAGATCTGTTAAGATCTATATAAGTATTTCCTTAATGTGTCGGACTGATCTTTAGTGCTAAGATGGCCTTTGTGTTGCTGCTTGCTCTGTTATTAGGTAACCCTTTTGTTCTGTTTCTGTTTGACTTGAAAGTTATATAAAGATGAAAACATAGCAAACCAACTTGGGGAAAAAAAGAGCACTAAATCTTGCCCTCCTATTTTTCAAAAGGATCAATATTCACGTTTATCTTATGCACTAGAAATGAGACTATAGTAAAGAAAACATACATTAAAATGTCAGTAAAAGCCTGTCTGAGAAAACAGCGAAGTCCAACATTGTCGAAGTTAATGATCACACCACATTCTTAGCTGACCCCATTTTCCTCATACATTAAGAAACGTTTCCAAACAGGTAATTTTACCTGTGGCAAAATCCCCAAGTAGAACAGAGCATGTTGATGGGCTTCAACCTTAATTGTGGAATAGCTCAACTTTGGTAGACTTTAATTAAATTATTAACATATTCCTGATGTAGTTATTTTCTATTTAATCTCATTCATTTTAATTCTTGCTTCACAGAGCTTTGTGCACATAATTCCCCAGCAGCATTATTCTCTCTCTTTATCTTGATGCAAGAGAGCCACACAGGCACACGCTGCTAATATATTCTATACTACGTTTGTAAGTAAAATCTGAATACTCATGTGGTATCTGTGTATAACTTGCTAGTCCTGTGACCACAAAAAAGTCCCAGTTCTGCTCTTTGAAAGGTGGAACACAAGCAAAGTCAATAAAAATGCACACCTAGTAAACACAAACTCTTTGATGCATGTTTGTCTTGAAACTCTAGACACCTTTATGACCATTAGGAAAAAAACCTCCAAATAATCCTGAAACATTTTTTTCTAACGATGTTCTTTAACCCTGCATTTGTGGAAGCATTTTTGTTGTGCCCTAGTTAATTGTATATCTTGTTCACTTCGTCTTTTCTTCCGCAACTAGTCCTGAGCTAAAAATTTTTCAGAACTTCCTTTGTGGCCTACATCTTTACATTCCAGTCTGTGTTAAAATAGCCTTCAAAACCCTGAGCAGAAGTGACAGAAAAAGAAGCCTGTTTCAGGGCGAAGCCATGCTGGAAATGTAAGCAGGGAATGCAAGAGGAAAGGAGAAGGAGCTGGGATGGATTCTTTGCCTTTCAATCCCGTGCTATGTTAGCAGTTCGCTGTCACCTTTCTTCAAGGCGTAGCGCAGGCTCTCTGCTTCCTAGGGGCCTTTACAAAATAGCAAAAGAGTGCATTTTGGGTTTATTCAGGTAAGAGTGGTCTGAAGATTAGTTCCAAGAACATTTTTAAACTGGTATCAGTACCTGTCAGTGGAGCAGCATTGAATGTAAGGAAGCAAGAAAATCAACTGTGTATGGCTGCCTGCTGTGGTGCCCTTGGATCTTATCTGCAATATTAGATGTTTCTTTCTTTAGGATGAAAATAG